CGATATATAAAATACTGAGAGGAATTGAGAAATTGAACAAAGACAGGATGTTCTAGAGATGGGACACAGCAACAAGGAATCACAATTGGAAGTTGAAGACTCTGATAAATCACAGAGGTGTTAGAAAGTATTTCTTCATTCACAGAGTTGTCAGGAAGTGGAATAGTCTGGGTAGTGATGTAGCGGAGGCAGGATCCATGGAGCATGAAGAGTGACCTAGGAGCGACCAGTGAAAAGGCGGAGCCAGGAGCTGTGAATCGACCCCTGCAACCACAACTAGGAAAGTACAACTAGGTGAGCACATACACACACACTCTCACTCACGAACACACACTCTCAACATATGCTCGGCATTTATCAATATTATCACATTCCAATGTTTTCTTGGAGCCAAAAAAAAAAAAAAACCTGCCTGATAACCCACTATTGAAAAATAAATTCATGAAAGGAGACGAAATAGCTGACTATCACAAATTGCCAAGTCTAGGAGCTAATAAAACTGATTGATGAGGATTGACTTAAATAGCCGAACTTCACTGCATTTGACGGAAGAATACTCTGATAAATTCTTATAATGGAAAGGGATAAATTTTTTCATAGACAAGAAACAAGAATGCTGAACGTTCCAAGACATCATTAGTAATAGAGATGTTAGGAATACATCCGGTAAGGGTTATTTTAGAAGGTTCAAGTACTGAGCGTTGATTGTTGCAGTCACAGAGAGATGAAATTTCAGACTACTCACACGCACCTATTGCTTACCTTATAGGGTGAGATTTTAAACACGAGAATGCAATTGTGAAATTTGAAAAAAACTGGATAAAACGCTTTTTTTTCATTTAGATGCAAGAGTAAAAAAAAAAAGAACAATCTAGCTTCTAATATAAAAAATGGTTCACCACTTTTATCTTACCAATATATGAAAGTTTACTGAAGATGAGAGCAGTCTGAGAGAGACGACCTTAAAAATTTGTTGTACTGGAGACTACTGAGCGCAGCGCGGCGAGTCCCAGTATTTATACAAGACAGCGAACAATAGCTGGCATTTGACTATTGGACGTCACAGTCTTAAACAAGCCGCTGATTGGGTAAGATGTAATGCCTCATAAATGGCATCGATAAATACTGAAAATCTTTCATATTCTTTAAATTAACTTCAAACATTTAATGAATAGATTAATTTTCGGTGCAATATTCTGAAACGGGATAAAAATTTTAAAAGTGCACTAAACACTTATTTTGTAATTAAAATATAATTAAATTGAGTCCAGTCTCTCAGTGGTACTGATTCGGTTGAGTTGTGTAGTCGAAGCAATCTGGTAAAATACCCAAACTAATTGCATGAGTTTTTGACTCGTAAGACCTAACGGAAAGACCTATTTTTTCAAAATCAACAAAATTCATTAATTTTATCCGTCATGTCATTCACAAATACCAGAAACAGCACCGGTCCTAGGACGGACCCCTGTGGAACCCCACTCGTCACAGGTGCCCACTCTGACACCTCGCCACGTACCAAGACTCGCTTTTGTCTTCCTGACAGGTATTCCCTGATACATTGTAGAGCGTTCCTGTTATCCCTGCCTGGTCCTCCAGCTTTTGCACTAATCTCTTTTGTGAAACTGTGTCAAACTTCTTACAGTCTAAGAATTTATAATCTACCCACTCCTCACTCTCTTTTTTCTTAATGATGTCGGCCTGTCATAGAACTCCAGTAGATTTGTGACATAGGATTTCCAGTCCCTGAAACCGTGTTGACTGTTGTTAATAAGCTTATTTCTTTCTAGGTGTTTCACCACTCTTCTGATAATCGTCTCCATGACTTTACATACTATACATATCAGTGACACTGGTCTATAGTTTAGTGCTTCTTGTCTGTCTCCTTTTTTAAAAATTGGGACTACATTTGCTGTCTTCCATACCTCAGGAAATGTCCCTGTTTCGATAGTTGTGTTGAATATTGTTGTTAGGGGTACACATAGCGCCTCTGCACCCTCTCTCAGGACCCATGTAGAGATGTTATCCGGCCCCATCGCCATTGAAGTGTCTAGCTTGCTCAGAAGCCTCTTCACTTCTTAATCGGTTGTATGTATTGTGTCCAACATTTGATGGTGTACCCCACCTTTCCTTCTTTTTGGAGTCCCTTCTGTCTCCTCTGTGGACACTCCTTTGAATCTCATGTTGAGTTCCTCACATACTTCGCAGTCGTTTTTTATGATCTCTCCTCCTTCCTTACTTAGCCTGATTAACTGGTCCTTGACTGTTGTTTTCCTCCTGATGTGGCTGAGCAACAGCTTCGGGTCAGATTTGGCTTTCGCTGCTATGTCATTTTCATATTGTCATTGGGCCTCCCTTCTTACCTATGCATGGGCATTTCTGGCTCTACGACTGCTCTGCTTATTCTCCTGGATCGTTTGCTTTCTATACTTCTTCCATTCCCTAACACACTTGGTTTTGGCCTCCCTGCACCTTTGGGCGAACCACGGGTTCATCCTGTTTTTTTTTATTTTTCCTGTTACCCTCGGGTACAAATCTCTCCTCGGCTTCCTTGCATATTGTTGTTACATATTCCATCATCTCGTTTACTGACTTCCCTGCCAGTTCTCTGTCCCACTAAACCCCGTTCAGGAAGTTCATTCCCACCTAGTCCCCCTTCTTGTAGTTTGGCTTCATTCTTCCGGCTCTTCCTGTTTCTCCCTCCACTTGTAACTCTACTGTGTATTCGAATCTTAAAACCACATGATCGCTGGCCCCAAGGGGTCCTTCATATGTGATGTTCTCAATATCTGCACTACTCAAGGTGAATACTAGGTCCAGTCTCGCTGGGTCCTCCTCTCCTTTCTATCTGGTAGTATCCCTTACATGTTGGTACATGAAGTTTTCCAGTATTACCTCCATCATCTTAGCCCTCCACGTTTCTTGGCCCCCATGTGGCTCCAGGTTCTCCCAATAGATTTCCTTGTGTTTGAAGTTACCCATGATCGGTAGCTTTGCCCTGCTCACATGAGCCCTTCTTGCCACTTCAACCAGTGTGTCAACCATCGCTCTATTACTCTCATCATAGTCTTGCCTTGGCCTCCTGCTGTTCTGTGGTGGGTTATACATCCCTGCAATTATCACCTTGGGACCTCCAGACAGAAGCGTTCCTACTATGTAATCTCTTGCTTCTCCTCTCTCTCCTCTCTCCAGCTCATCAAAATCCCAGCTGGTCAAAATCCCATTGGATTTTGACCAGCAGTGCCACTCCTCCAACCCCTCTGTACTCTCTGTCTTTCTTCAGGATCTGATATCCCATTGGAAAGATGGCATCTGATATCATACTTGTGAGCTTGGTTTCTGTGAGAGCTATGATGTCCGATGATGCCTCTTTGACTCTTTCGTGCCACTCGTCCCACTTATTTGTTATTCCATCAGCGTTTGTGTACCATACCTTCAGTTTCCTCTCCAACACTGTGTTTGGGGGAGGGGTCGGTGATGGTGGGGGTCCTGGTAGTGTACTGTGGGATTCTATAGCTGATTGTTGGGTGGGAGCTGTGGGTATGGATTGTGGTTTATGTTAGGATAGCGTGATTGGTTGTGGGGTGCTTGTTGTCCTTGTTGCTCAGCCTTGCTCTGGTTGTTCTCTGGTGATTCTGTCCTTGTTTCTCCTCCTTGCTTCTTTCGCTTTTGTGTCCTCTCCTTCATCTGCTGTCGTTCTGTTTGTGCTCTGTCTTGGACTAGGAACATCCTTTTGTATTCTGTCGAGTCCTTCAACTGTGGTTTCTCTTGGAGGATCCTGTTTTGCACTGCTTCTGACAACTATATGACTGAAGAAATACTTCCTAACAACCCTTTTACTCATCTGAGTCTTCAACTTCCAATTGTGACCCCTTGTTTCTATGTGCCATTTCTGGAACATTCTGTCTTTGTTCACCTTGTCTATTCTGTACGGTATTTTACATGTCGATATCATGTCTCCCCAAGACCCTCCTGTCCTCCAGTGTCGTCAGGCCAATTTCCCTTAACCTTCCCTTAACCTTGGCCACCTAGACTACACTGTGTCTGGGGTCTTCTTTGCTGTTCCCCAATCTTCATGACTTTGCATTTGGCAGGGTTAAATTCAAGGAGCCAGTTGCTGGACCAGGCTTGTAGCCTGTCCAGGTTCCTTTGTAGTTCTGCCTGATCCTCGACCGATTTGATTCTTCTCATTAACTTCACATCATCTGCCAACATGGTCACTTCTGAGTATATCCCTTCCATTATGTCATTTACATATACCAAAAACAGCACAGAACCTTTGTGGAACCCCGCGTATCACAGGCGCCCACTCTGACAACTCGTCACGTACCACGACTCGTTGTTGCCTCCCTGTCAGGTATTCTCTGATCCATTGCAGTGCCTTTCCTGTTATGTGTGCCTGATACTCTAGCTTTTGCAGTAATCTCTTGTGAGGAACTATGTCGAAGGCCTTCTTGCAGTCCAAGAAAATGCAGTCTGTCCACCCCTCTCTCTCTTGTCTTACTTCTGTCACCTTGTCATAAAACTTCAGAAGGTTTGTGACAGGATTTTCCTTCCCTGATACCATGTTGGTTGTCGATTATACAGTTGTTCTTTCCAAGTGCTCCACCACTTTCCTCCTGATGATCTTTTCCATGACTTTGCATATATACACGTTAGTGACACAGGTCTGTTTTTTAATGCCTCGTATCTGTCTTCTTTTTAAAAAAATCGGACTACATTTGCCATCTTCCATACCTCAGGGAGTTGTGAGTCTGTGTCCTTTGTTTGTGTGTGTGTTTGTACTTGTGTGGTTGTGTGGGTGTAATTTCGTATATTTTGGCACATGAAAGTGTAAAATTATTTATGTGTACATACATATTTTAGGAAATTTGACACATATTTCATGTTCTACACATTTATTAAATGTTTGTCTGTAAATTTCAAAAACAAAATTAAAAATACACAAAATTTGCACAAGTGTCACAGTGATTTCGTTCAGCCTTTGTTTTGTTTTGCCAGATTTAGTCTTGTAGTGAATGCGAGGAGAAGTTGGTAACAATTTCCAGGGAAAATATCAGGAGACTGAGAGACAAGCCACCAGTGTATACAATAAACATTCCCTGGAAGGAAATACAAAAAACATGTATCTAATATTAAACAATGAATATTCTTTAAAGGAAATATTTCAAAATTATACTTTTCATTTCATATAATACGTAAGTTCGAGGATTTTACCACATGAAATATTAACAAATTACCCATAGGTTGTTGACTGAAAGTGACGTTTTGACTGTAATCTTGGATGGGGAATGAGAACAGATTGTTGAGTTTGGTTCCTCTTCCTTCATCCACTGGTAAAACAGTCCAGCCTCTTTCACTCTTATTATCCTGAGTGTAAAAACATAAATTATGAATAAACTCATCATGAGATTAAAAAATTCACTTTAATGCCATTCATTTAAAGGAACATGTAAGTACTCATGAAGAATTCATAACTGCTTTCACTCACATACACAGAGAGATACAGACACAGGCACATACACAGACACTCACATACACACACACACACACACACACACTCACAAACACACACACATACACATACACACACACAAACACACACACACACCTGTGACAAGCAGGGTCCCACAGGGGTCAGTCCTAGTGTCGTGGGGGTTCGGAAGGAGATATGATGGTTGAAGGTAAACACACTTGTTGGATGGTAACGATATATATATTGTCAGACTGTGGTAAGGAGAGGAACCCAGGCCTGCCGTGTTACTGCCTGCTGTATGTCTAAGCGCGGAGTGAGGGCGAGGTAGAGCAAACCACTCACTCATGCTGCATCCCGTGACGTCATACAGTCACTAGGCTTAGGGATCTTCTATATAAACACATGTAAAGGAGGATCAGCAGCTATGCTGACAGCTCGGACATGTTACGTATGTCGTCTCGACATACACTACTATACTATAGGCTGAACAGGCAGGTGGTTCTGGGCTGATTCTATACAATAACAAAGACATATGTAACTTAGAACTAATGGATGGTATCATAATGGATGTTAACATACTCAGTTTTACGTAATGGGTGTTAACATAATGAGTTTTAACGTAATGTATTACAAATTATAAGAACAAATCATGGTATAATATAGGATGGAATTGATCGATCGATCTGTATTCATGCTCTCTACGGATTCTGAGGAAGAACAAATATATATACAAGGTGGAATTAACAGCAAAAGCAATCTGGTGCACACAGACCATTACTGTCAAATTCTCAGAATATGGAGGGAACGTGAACACGAAAACAAAAATTCTGATAACTGATAAGTTAATAACAATTTCCTTCATCTCAGTCATCTAATTATACAGACTATGTACATTTAAACCCAATTCTGCGAGGGTAAGATTTACATATGCAGAATGGTTATCATCTCTGGGAGGATCGAATTCTTCTGCGATGGCTAACACATGCCTTGACTGAGGACGATCTGAACGAGTATCTACAAAAGATACAGCTACATGGACGATCTGAACGAGTATCTACAAAAAATACAGCTACATTCACTAGTGACTGGAATTGCTAGGAGTACTCAACTCGACTGTTCGATACAGTAATTCTTGACTCATTACAAAGTCACTAATGGGTGCTGGTGGCTTCACAGTCAGAATAAGATCTTCCTGGAGCAGGAATCGAATCACACCAGAACACAAGGGATTGGTTCTTTCTTACCGGAGAAATGAACAAACTCGGTGGAGTGGGTGACTCCCCGGTTGAAAAAAATAACGCTATAACACGCAATATGAGCAATGGAGAACGAATCTACTATCTCTCACTGCAAGCACAGGGGAAAAGAAATGAATATGGTGAACAATGCTGATATTCAATCTGAGTCGCACACAGTGACACGAGGTATCAGCTATAAAGAAACTTCACTTACAAACGTTAACAACATGTGAAAGTTACTCGAGAAATAACTTCTTACATTGCACGAATTACTGTCAACTAGGATGGGATCACAATCTGGAACACAAGGGACAACAACAACACTCAAGTGAGTACACTAGCCACAGAAACGTCTTTCTGCAACGGCTTGTGGCATCAGCAAGAGATGGCATAACTCGTTGTAAGTAAAGTTCTTCTCAAAGCGTCCCCTGGGAAGGAACGAGTACTTGAACAAGTCGCCATCGCAAGGATAGTAGTCTCAGCACCCAGGGTTGTCTGAGGTTCCTCTGAAACCCAAGGTAACTGTACACTATCTTGCATGCACGATATTGTGGCTGGAGTCCAGACAGGAGTGACAGTATTACTAGTGCCTGACCGCTCGGCTACGTTAATAAGTAATGAACGAATCTATAGGAGCTTAATCTGAACTTCACATTTCGCAGCACTTTAACAAATCTCAGATACAAGCTGTGAGAACAAACACATTGCTCAGGGGCTAGGTTTTGTCTTTCAGTCAGTAAGGGAATATTGGTACTGTGGACTGATTCATATTGACTTTGACTGGCATGATACACTAAGTGAACATTCAAAAGTGACTGGGACATGTTCTCAGGGAACTTACTCAAGGACATAAAGAAAAAAAAGAGAGAATGACACAATAAGCTTAAATGGGAAGAAAATGCTTAACTATTCTGCATAAGTAATTAAAAATTGACAGGTCACACTGTAAGCAAGGAAACTCACACTCACAAAAGAAAATACTCAACTGAATAAGCAACACTTTGAAAATCAAGAAAAATTGTACTTTACTCAAATCAAATTTGCTCAACTTTGCTTTAAAATGAGTTAATGGCACAGTGAGTTGTCTTTACTCTCAATGCAATAGGGAAATACAACAATAAAATGATGAATCAATCAAAAATGTGAAAATGGGCTCAATAAAGCTTGTGCAAAATTAAAACAAAGTGGGAAAACAATTCACTAAAAAGAAAATAAAATGGCACACAAAGAATAAAATATTATGCACAGAAAAGAGCATATGAAACTGCACTGAAATAAACTATAGCAATATTGCAAATAACAATTACTAATCAAAAGTACTGCACAACACTACATAAAATTTCTGAAAGAAAAAATTTAATGGCAACACAAAGTTTACACAAGAATTATTGCAAAATAAGTCAATGATGCAATGATAAAAAAAAATTACACACAAACAAAATACAGTTTACAAAAGAGAAAAAAAATTATCATCAAGGAATGAACTGAGTGAACACTTTAACTCTTAATTGCAGCTTAAGCAACACTTACTGAACAAACAAAAGAACAATTTACTTTAAAGAAGAACTTAAAAATTGCACTAAGAGTGAATTTGTTCAATGAAATATGAAAATAATAGGTGCAAAAACACAGAACAAAAAGACTTGAACACTTACAGTGATGCAGAACACAACACATCAATATAAACACAATACTAGAATTTTCTTGCTATGAAACTTGAGGTGTGAAAATTTGGAAAAATAATTGTTTTGCTTGCACAAAATAATGACACTATTGTCTGTCGAGATAAGACAAATTAGTCACTAGTTAAATGAAAAGAATTAACACAAGAATGTTCAAAACACAGAGAAAAATAAAATAGCAAATGAATGAAAACAAAAACTGCAAGAATACACAAATGCTGTGGGAAAAAATTATAACAGACAACACTGAGTTGTGATGCAGAAACAAGGTAATAAATTACTGAATTACTTCACTGCAATACTGTGAGCACAAGATAATTGTGAAGTGTAACACAAATTTTATACTGCTTATATGTTGCACACAACAAGGAAAAACACTAAAGTACTTACTTCAAGTATGTAAAAAAAAAAAGCACAACACAACAGACATAAAATAATGCACAAAAGTTAACACTGAATTAAGAACAGAAAAAAAATATTGCAAACAGCAATGTAATAAACAATGAATCTAATCAAGAGTTACTGAAAGTCACTAAGAAATCACTGGAAACACAAAAAGGAAATGTCTCAACACTCGCAAATGTCACTATGAAAAAATATTATCACTGTAGCGATGTGATGAATGAGGTTAAGGTAGTAAAGGGTAGAGGAGACTGGTCGCTGACTGCGTTCGCTGCTCCTCCACACATGATCGAGGAATTTTGCGCTTAAATCAACAATGGACCCACACAGGAGGCTTTTTACGATGGCGCCACTGACGAAAATACACACTCTGGCTCTTGACCCCCTGTGTGGTCCTTAAAATATGGTGCTAGAACCCGTAATAAGGGTACAAAAGTGGTAGTGGTTGGGTGAGGCGGCTGAGGCAGGGCGGTGACGAACACTGCGTGGTGACTGAGCCTATGGGATGAACGGCGTAAGCCTCACTGGGGACACCCTCACTAGGCACGAAAACATTCTAAGCCGGGCTGGCTTAAAACAAACCCACGAAATACCACAATGCCACAGGGATGATAAAACACTCAGAATGGCTAGAACTTGAAGCACAAAGCGATGAAGAAGACTACCCACGTGGCTTGCTTGAGTACTGGGTTAGTCACCTCAGTTAGCTGCTGGCAGGCTTAGCTTAACTCTTCACACAGAGTGGCTTGATAACTTCTAACAATGAGCACAGCAGGGGTGGAAAGCTGGCTTGGCAGGCAAGGCTGGATGGTGTAAGGCTAGGCTGGCTGACTCCCCCACCACAGACTGTCATGCTGGTTTGGCTTGCTTTGCAAACTCGGGTCAACCCCCTGGGAGTGATGCAAATAAGCAGATAAACACTAATACAAGGAGACAGACCAATGAATTATGTAGAGGCTGGTAGACGCTTGATCGGGTAGTGGCTTGAGGTAGGTCGAGCGTTACCCTTCTCGGCAGGCCTAGCGTCACAAGATGGCGACCGGCTCAGTAGAAATTTATCTCCAGAAATCGTTGTAATCGTCAGAATTACAGGCCCTCTGCTGGCACCAATTTGTCAAGAGGGTTCGGAAGGAGATATGATGGTTGAAGGTAAAGACACTTGTTGGATGGTAACGATATATATATTGTCAGACTGTGGTAAGGAAGGAGCCCAGGCCTGCTGTGTTACTGCCTGCTGTATATCTAAGCGCAGAGTGAGGGCGAGGTAGAGCGACCCACTCACTCATGCTGCATCCTGTGACGTCATACAGTCACTAGGATTATGGATCTTCTATATAAACACAAGTAAAGGAGGATCAGCAACTATGCTGACACTAGGACCAGTGCTGTTTCTGGTATTTGTGAACGACATGATGGAAGAATAGACTCCGAAGTGTCCCTGTTTGCAGATGATGTGAAGTTGATGAGAAGAATTCATTCGATCGATGACCAGGCAGAACTACAAAGGGATTTGGACAGGCTGCAGACCTGGTCCAGCAATTGGCTCCTGGAGTTCAACCCCACCAAGTGCAA